TGAGAAGAATCTTTTGGAGAATATTCTCTCGATTAATGATATTAGAGAATTTTCATTTCAAATAGGAGAATATTCATTTTAATGCATTGAAAATGATATAATTTGCATTGGAATATACTGATATAAATTACATTGGAATATATTTCAGTATGTCAGTATATTACCAGTATGTCAGTCTGTGGTAATTGGCACTTTGTACCATTGAATGGCACTGCAAAAACCAGTTACTGGCACTAAATAAAAATATAGAAACGTCAATTGTTTAAATCAAGGCCACCACACATGCTGTTACACTTAATTGTATAGGCCTAGGTACTTTAAGTGTATAAAGCATTAAAGCTACTTTATGTAAAAAAAAAAAAAAAATCACACTGTATAGCCAAGGGTATAGAATTGCTAAGAATAACGTCACACCAAAATAGAAAAAAGGCTATTACATATAGTTGAAATACATACGAATTCAAATGTTCATCAAATTAAATGAATAGCATTTTTAAAACTAAAAAAAGAGAAAAAGAAAAGTTTTCGGTAGCTCAGTTTCACTGCCAATGGTGAATGAATGACACAGTGCCCAGCAATGTAACTGGATAAAAAAAAAATCATTACTTACACTGGCAATATCACAGCTTGACTTATTATTTACTAGATTTTTTAAATGTGGGTTGTAAAACTGGTTCTTACATTAGAATTTACAGTTTGTGGAGCATATTCTCCGGAGAATTTTCTAGCAAAGAATACTCTTGAGGATGTTCTCCTTCTCGAGAATATTCTCACCTCACATCACATCACTAACCACAAGCAGGGCTTAAAAATGTAACAATACAAGAAGAGCCTGAGGGGTCAGCCCAGTAGGCCACCTGGTCCAGCCTCCTGTTCTCTCAGGGGCCAACCAGATGCCTATAGGAAACCAGTAAGCAGGATTCAAGCACAAGAGCACTCTCCCCTCCTGTGGTTTCCAGCCACTGGTGTTTGGAAGTACTGCTGCATTCAACACCTAAAAGCAATCACATACTCTCACAGCAGTAGTTTCAAGGTTGCCAGGAACAGAAACTTTTGGACATCAAATGCCTGGGTAAACAGATTTTTTTTTTATTTTCTCCCAACAATTAATAGTGATGCACCTCACTAGGGAGAGCAGTCCAGAAACAGGGAGCCACCACCAAGAAGGTCCTGCTATAGATTAACACAATTGGGCAATACCCAGCAGTGGCACCACCACTGATTGTAGGACCTGAGGTGGCTGTTATTGAGGTAGGTGCTCTTTGAGGCACTTGGGTCCCTCAAAGGGACAATGAAGATGATGAAAGTGAATTGGGCCCAGTAGCTCACTTCCCTTCTTAAAAGTCATAGTAGTGGTGGCCGCAACAACAATAAGAGGCAAAATGGAGCCTTTTGTCCACCTTCTACCTCTTTCGCCATCCCCACTATTGCCTAGTACCAGAAATGTAGAGTGAAGCGGGTTCTGGAAGGATGCTTCGTTTAACGGGTTTGGACTAGATAACCTACAGAGCTTTTCCTGCTTGCACAGTTCCCTTTACAACCAGCATGAAGTTGAGCAGGAAGCACACACATAAATTGTCTTGTGTAACATCTTTAATCATTCATGTATTTGTGTGCTCTTCCATAGTTAATGAGCCTGCCTGCATTTGCCCTTGTTCCTGCTCCCTTTCTCGTTCAGTCAGTTTGTTGTGGTTTTGTGTATCTAATCCATCTGTCACTCGATTACAGCTACAGAGCACCTGTTATGGATTTCTAGAATTTCATTCAAGCTGTTGACAAGTTATTCACAAATTAGCCCTTGTCAGCCTGTCATTGCATCGAGTGCTCTTTGGCGAATCCTTTTGGGTACACATAATAATGAACAGGAGTTCGTGCCGCTTCTGAATTAAACAGCTTCATTTTCTCCTGGTTTCTTAAAAGGAGCATTAACAGATTGGAAGTGACTTGCGGAGGGGACATTTTGTTGAACCTGTATTCAAATATTTGTTTTCCCCAACACACAGCACCCTGCAGGGAGGATCACAATGAAAGTGATGTTGAGCAGTTAGGAGGTGCATGTTACTCATGAAATGACCTGGCCTTTCTAGATTCAAACCTGCATCGTTTTCCAAATGAAAAAGAAAGAAAAAGAGCAATTAAAAAAAAATTGGACAACGTATGTACTGTATGAAAAAAGTACCAAGGATTTGTGTTTGCAATGAGCAAAACATACTACTGTAATAATAAAATTTAAGGTCTTATATATATAATAAATGTTCATAAATGTATCAACCAAGCAAGTACATAGATCAGCACAGGAAGACCGACCTGAAACCATTTTGACTCCCAAACTGACCAAATGTTTTCTCTGCAAGGAGGGAGGGGGTCAGGGAGCCTTCCCATTGTCTCAGGAATTGGGAAATCACCATTTCAAAGGGTGACAGACTACCAGGAAAGGCAATCAGATAAGGTATTATCAGATAACCTGGCAGACAGGAAAAACATTTAAATTTCTGTTGTAGACCACCTTTTCTGTGATGTAGGTATGATGTTTGTGGGGGGTGGTCTTGGGTTACACCCCTTCTGTGATGTATGTATGATGTATGGAGGGGTGGTCTTGAGCTCCAGGGCAGGGAATTTAAAATGTCTATATAAGGCCTTGCGCGCCATTGTTCGAGGTCCTCCTCCTTTCCAGCGTGTGAGGGGAGTACCCTGTTGCAACAGATCAATAAAGATCATGCTTACTAGCTGCTTTGCTTCTCAATATTCTCTGGTTGGCCTCCGTTATTTTATCCTACCAATAGGGAACCCACGTAAGGACTCGATACGGGCTCTTGGATACCTCATAAGGGAAAAAGGGCAGATTTTGTTTACAACAGTACAAAGCAGAACAGGAGGAAAGCATTGCAATCCCAAATACTTAAGAAATGCACTTAAAGGTAAAGGTAAAGGGACCCCTGACCATTAGGTCCAGTCGTGGCCAACTCTGGGGTTGCGGCGCTCATCTCGCTTTATTGGCGGAGGGAGCCAGCGTACAGATTCCAGGTCATGTGGCCAGCATGACTAAGCCACTTCTGGCGAACCAGAGCAGCGCACAGAAATGCCGTTTACCTTCCCGTTGGAGTGGTACCTATTTATCTGCTTTCACTTTGACGTGCTTTCGAACTGCTAGGTTGGCAGAAGCAGGGACCAAGCAAAGGGAGCTCACCCCATCACGGGGGTTCATAGAATCATAGAGTTGGAAGAGACCACAAGAGCCATTGAGTCCAACCCCCTGCCAAGCAGGAAACACCATCAGAGCACTCCTGACATATGGTTGTCAAGCCTCTGCTTAAAGACCTCCAAAGAAGGAGACTCCACCACACTCCTTGGCAGCAAATTCCACTGTCGAACAGCTCTTACTGTCAGGAAGTTCTTCCCAATGTTTAGGTGGAATCTTCTTTCTTGTAGTTTGGATCCATTGCTCCATGTCCGCTTCTCTGGAGCAGCAGAAAACAACCTTTCTCCCTCCTCTATATGACATCCTTTTATATATTTGAACATGGCTATCATATCACCCCTTAACCTCCTCTTCTCCAGGCTAAACATGCCCAGCTCCCTTAGCCGTTCCTCATAAGGCATCGTTTCCAGGCCTTTGACCATTTTGGTTGCCCTCCTCTGGACACGTTCCAGTTTGTCAGTGTCCTTCTTGAACTGTGGTGCCCAGAACTGGACACAGTACTCCAGGTGAGGTCTGACCAGAGCAGAATACAGTGGCACTATTACTTCCCTTGATCTAGATGCTATACTCCTATTGATGCAGCCCAGAATTGCATTGGCTTTTTAGCTGCTGCGTCACACTGTTGGCTCATGTCAAGTTTGTGGTCAACCAAGACTCCTAGATCCTTTTCACATGTACTGCTCTCAAGCCAGGTGTCCCCTTCTTGTATTTGTGCCTCTCATTTTTTTGCCCAAGTGCAATACTTTACATTTCTCCCTGTTAAAATTCATCTTGTTTGTTTTGGCCCAGTTCTCTAATCTGTCAAGGTCGTTTTGAAGTGTGATCCTGTCCTCTGGGGTGTCAGCCACCCCTCCCAGTTTGGTGTCATCTGCAAATTTGATCAGGATGCCCTTGAGTCCATCATCCAAGTCGTTGATAAAGATGTTGAATAAGACCGGGCCCAAGACAGAACCCTGTGGCACCCCACTAGTCACTCTTCTCCAGGATGAAGAGGAACCATTGATGAGCACCCTTTGGGTTCGGTCAGTCAGCCAGTTCCAAATCCACTGAGTGGTAGCATAGTCAAGACCGCATTTTACCAGCTTCTTTACAAGAATATCATGGGGCACCTTGTCAAATGCCTTGCTGAAATCAAGGTAGGCTGAAATCAAGATTCGAACCGCCAACCTTCTAATCAGCAAGTCCTAGGCTCTGTGGTTTAACCCACAGATAGAGGAACTACTGCTGGCAACTCTTTCTTAATTGCTAATTTGTTCTCTATTGTCCATAAGACCCATTTTTCCTAACAGAAAAATAAAAGGATATATTTTTTTTAAAAAAATAAAAAAATCAACCTAGCTGTTTAAAATAGTTTTGTTACCTTTTTGGTCTAACAAAATACTTCAAAAGTAGCTCACAAAAGAAAATAGAAACATAATAAGATATTTTTAAAAGCCTGTTTTCCTTGATTTCACTAAATAATGGGAAACGCATTGTAATGCAGAAATCATTGTAACACAGCAGTCAACCCACAATAAGATGTTTTGTAAAGTCCACCTTAACATAAGCCGACATTAACAATATTGAAAATAGTGATTCATTTTGTAACCAGCTGCAGGGTAGTTATAAATTTGTGATATACCATATTCAGTTAGTCTAGTTGTCACTTTCTTAACATTAGAAAGTTTTCTTGGTATTAAAAAACTTTGTTTAGATGGCTGCTCTGCAGCTGCTATGAAATAATTACTACTTCCTCAGAAAAGTACCAATGTGGTTGATTCTCCATTGGTTAGAAAAACACACAGAGAATCATTTTTGTGTTGGGCGGGATGCCCTGTCCACTGCAGACCTCAGAACAGCACCAGCTAGAAATACTTTTTTGAAAAAGGAAGGACAACACTTTGCAGCTTTTAAAATCAGGGCAAATGGTTTTCAGAAAGGGAGAAGGCACGACCATGCTCACACCCACATCTTTGTCTCCAGGCTCTATGATATACAACAATGATTTGCCAGAGTGATACGCTTAGCCTGAACAAAGTATGTGTTTCATTCCCGTTATCATTACTTCTGTTTAACTTGGTGTGACACCCATTGTCTTCGCTATCTTCTCAGTCACATCACTTCCTGATTAAAGAACATTGTGCCCTATCAAAGGTTATACGTCAATAAGTTAATTTGTGTCTAATGTGTTACAGCTTCCCTCCTTCATTCATACATAACATCTGGGCATATGTTCCCTTAGTTTACCTGCATAGATTTCAGATTTAGATTTATTACGGCCATTGGCCCATATCAAAAACAATACATCAGAATTTATCCATAAACAATACAATTTAAACAGTTCCAAGTTAAAACACCCTTATAAAACCAATTTTACTTTAGTTAAGTAAACACTATACACAATAAGCTCCTCTATGTAAACTGCAATTCCGATCCATCAGACTTTGGGGGTATACGTCTTAGTTCTGGCACTTATTGATGGTTCTTAAGTTTAGCTAAGCTGTCAGAAACATACAGTGATCCATTTCTCCTCTTTTGAAATAAAACATTAATCAGGTATCTAGCGATTGCAAGGGATCTACTTGTATCTTCGTCGTTTAATAAGTATATTATTTGGGCTTCCTGAGGACTGTCAGCAATTCTCGATAAATATGGGGCCAGAAACTTGGACCGTGAAGCCGAATGTAATGGACAACAGAAGATTATATGATATAACGATTCTATAGATCCGCTTTTACAGTCACAGAGGAGTGAGATCTGTCCGTTGGAGAGTCTGTTACCCAACACGTTTGATGGGAAAACATTGAATCTAGCCATTATAAAGGCATACCTGTGCGTCACCACAGATAAGGTAGTTAAGTAAGATGGAAGTTTCGTTGGTGGAGTTAAGCCAAGGTTGATCGGCGAACAGGTGCCTCCACCTGTCGCAATATTAAATTGTAAATCCATCTCCTCTAATTTGTGAGTTATAATTCTTTTGGCCGAAGTTAAATCCAATTTTAATAGTTCGGATGGAGATAGTCCTAGGGACACAAGTTTCCCATGTATTATTTTTGCCCAGGGGCTAGGGAAGTCATCTCTCCAGAGGCATTGTATCAGGTGGAGATTTGGAAGTTTATGCCATAAAGCCAACCAGTAACAGAGGATGCATTTCCATAATGTGGTTTCTAGAGATGTAACATTTAGTTCCAGTCGTATAGCAGTATTGCTTACACACCTAGGTAATTTTAACAACCTTCTTAAAAGCTGGTTTTGGATTACCTCCAACTGGGTTAGATTAGCAAAGGACCCCCATAATGGGACTGCATATGCTATTGTTGCAATCACCTTTGCCTTGAAAACTTTTAACACTGATGGAATATGGAAAGCCCCATCTGAAAAGAAAAACGCAATAGCGCATAGGAAAGGGCTTTAGCTCTGTTTAATACATATGCAACATGGACCTTCCAGCCCATGTTGTGTTGGAGGAAGACTCCCAAGTACTGAAATTTAAAGACTTGGTCAATAGCTTTTCCGTCTATTCTCCAATTATAGGTTTTTCTACTCTTGGTGAAAATTAGAACTTTGGACTTAACATGGTTAATTGTAAGAAAATTTGATTTACAGTAAACATCGAAAATTTTTAATGCCCTCCTAAGGCCGACTCTTGAAAAGGATAGGATCACTGCGTCGTCTGCGTAGAGTAGAAGGGGGCAACGATATTGGGCAAGACGGGGGGCGTGGATCGTTTCTTGAGCCTCTATCAGAGGCGCCCTCATATCACTTATAAATAGATTGAAAAGGGTCGGAGCAAGGATACATCCTTGGCGAACACCTCTATTGATAGTTACTGAGTTTGAGAGGTCGCCTGCCGGAGAGATTCTCACCCTAGCGGCCGATCCGTCATGCAGTTTAGTTATTAGCCACAAAAGTCTTTTATCTATTCCCCATCGGGCTAGTTTCCCCACAGCAATCCTCTGGGGATGCTGTCAAAAGCGGCCTTTAAATCAATAAAGGCCGCACAAAGTTGGCCTCTATTTGGGGAGGAGTATTTCCGGGCAAGGTGGTATAAAACTGAGATCTGATCAACCGCTGACTGATTCGGTCTAAAACCAGCCTGTTCAGGCCCAATCAGGTTGTTCTCTTCGGCCCACTTAGTAAGCTTAGTTAACAAGAACCGTGCATATATTTTCCCGATTAATGACAATAAACTGATATTCCTGTAATTTCCCGGGTCATCTGTCGAGCCTTTTTTATGAATTGGAACAATAATCGCATCCTTCCATATTCTTGGTACCTTCCCACTGTTGTTTACGGCATCAAAGGTAGCGGCCAAGATTTACCTGCATATTAACTACCTGTTTTTCCTCTTTTGTGAGGAAAGAATATATGTTAGGCGAGGAAGCAACTGTGGATTGCTAGGGCAGCCTAGAGTCACAACTAATGACAGAGAACCCTAATCTAAAATAAATGGGGAACAATCAACACTCACTTCTTGACAATACACTTTGAACTCTCAAGGCAGTCAAGGCCAGCTTGCATATAATAGAAATGGGCATGTGAAGTGATAACAACGAAAAAAGAATATGTATCTATCTATACATCTATCTATCTATATATGATAGAAAATATAAAAAAAAAGGGCCAAGTTGACTCTGAAGGGCTTAGCCACCTGCTTTGGTCTGCCACAAATTCACTACAAACACTTGTTTTGTGCCAACACAGCCAGAGTCTTCAAACCTTCATCAACTATGGTAAGCAAAGGAACTCCTAGTACCCTAGTATTATTATACTGGGAACTCCTGACACTCCTAGTATTATTCCTGCATTGATGCAGGTTGAACTAGATGACCCTTGGGGTCCCTTCCAACTCTATGATTCCATAATTCTATTCCATCAGTCAATAGCAGATCTCCTGAAGGTCATGTCTCAACTATGGGAGCAAACACAAGAGTTATGATCCACTGGATCTCTAGCCAATTCTCAGTGCATCCATGCCATACTGCCATAAGCTGCACATTCCAGCTCAGCTGGAGATACAGCAGCATAACTCACTCACAAAGACAGGGTTCAGGAAGTTTTTAAATGCACAATATGGTGTCAGAAGTTGCCACATACAAGAATCAATGAGAGTAAATCAAACGAATGAAGTCCGCCATTTTGCAGGCCATTCTGTTTGATAAGCCTGGAAGAAATGGGTTGCAGAAGGCACATTTCACCAGCTGCCATTGCCAAGCTGTAATGAAGCTTAACAGAGACCCACAACAAACACTGGCTAGCCTCATTAAGTTCTGTTAGAGGAAGTGAAGCTGAAATATTGAAGAAACCAATGAGAATTCAAACAAGTCTAATGAGGATGTCAGTTAACAAACAAGGCAACTGATGGATGGAGAGAAATGCTAGGGGAAATGTCCAAGTTTTACAAAGACGAAAATAGTGCTGAGACAAAGGTCTGCTTTTCACTTTGACAGTAATGATTTTGAGAGGCTAAATTCACCAAAAGGAAGTAATGCTACCTTTTTTTATGTATGTTCACAGCCCTTAAACAGAAGTTTACAGCAGATATCGAAAGGAATGCAGTGATGGTGCTTAATGTCAATAAGCAGGGAGCTCCAAAGTACAGCTGCTGTCACACTAAAGGCATGAATCCTTACAAATGCAGAATGGTTATTTTGTGGTGCTTGTTCCACAGATTGGAAGGATCAAATAGGCACAGATGGGGTATCACAATCTCTTAAATAAACTGGTTCCAAACCCTTCAGTATGTATGTACAGTGGACTTCCGGGGGAGGCGCCTCCGGTAATGGCAGAATTCCTCTGACCGGGAGGAATCTGCTCCGTGGAAATCTGGGTCTGGCCGCCACGGCGAAGGCGGAGACCCGTTAAAATGACAGGCGGGAGAAGCCTGTGAACGTGGGATTCGGCGGGCACCTTTTGCGCCTCCTCCACTCGCGGGGAACCCTGGTTTTGGGGGCTCCGGAGCGACGTGGGGTGAGCGGCGCGGTGCATCAAATCATCTGCTTCTTCCAGGGAGCGAAGCCGCATAGCTGTTGCCGGAGAGCGCCGCTGACCTTTTCCTGTGGACAATTTGACTTTAAAGTAATTACCCGTGAGTAGAGCTGAAACGGAAGAATTGGATTTCTAAAAGTTTAATTTGGTATCGTAACAGGGAGGTTCAAAACAGGAAGTCCGCCTTCCCCTTTTGTAAATAGACTGAGGCAATGAAGTTGCAAGCTGGAGTCCTGGAAGGTCTTTTGTAAAAGATCAAATTTCCAACGGTAAAGAACATTAAACCCCCTCTTGGAGGCAGGAGAAGAGGGGGAAGTTGCGGATTGAGTATGCCTGCGGGAGAGAGCGAAGAGATTTAAAACACCGCCGCTCTGACCCTGGAAACGGGCTGCTAGTAGGACTGATGTCTTTTGGAATGTTCATTGACAGCGCTTAGAACGTTCATTGACAGCTGGTCAAATAAGAGAAATACATTGTTTCTACTGTCTCCGGCTACTTTAAAAAGGAGTAAAAGTAAATGAAAATTGAAACTAATTTGAAACTAACTTTGGATTGTTTAAAAGAGGATACTATTGACTATTACAAATAGAAACTGTTTTCTCCTAGTGGAAACCTTTGAAACTGGTTGATTTACAAGAGTTGGACTAGGGGAATTTCCAGCTGCAAGTTAAAAACCGTGAGACTCTGGGACTGACCTTGAATCTTTCAAATGTTATGGTAAATGGAAGAGGAAAAACAGATCAGTCAACTGTTGATAAAACATTAAGGTCTGGGAGGACTTGGTAACAATCCAGGAGAGGTCTATTATTAGGCCTTCCTGTTCTTTTTGTTGCTGTCTTTGTACTAGTATATTTGAAACCAAGAGGAATGTCGACAGAAGAGGCTTTGGTGGCTGTATTATATAAGATAAATGACTCATTGGATCAGCTTCACAGGAAAATGGACATGATAAATGCGAAAGTGGATGTTTCAATTGTTGAGGTTGACTTGAATGCAGGGAGTATGGACAATACCAATACAGAAACCACCCAGAAATTGATACAAGAACCTATTTTGATATGGCAAGCTGTGGAGGAAGTCAAGGAAAAGCTGTTGCTGTTGAAGGTACAGAAACACAACTGGAGAGAAAGAGAAAGAGAGCCCCAGCCCTACAGAGGCAATTTGATGAACATAAGTTGACGCTCGCTATGACTGAACTTAAGGAAAAACAGACGAATTTGAGGATTAGAGTTCACCTTTGGTGGACATGCCCAAGGATTAAGACACTCTGGGAGATGATTCATAACGAAATGAAAAAGGTATTTAAATATACCCTTTTGAAGAAACCAGAGGCCTTTCTCCTGGGCATGGTCGGTCAATTGGTGTTAAAGAAGGGTTAGGGTTATGCTATAAGGAATCAAGTATAAATAGATTAATAGTGTATTAAAGGGAAAATAAGGCTAGAATATGTCAAGATAATTATAGGATAGAAAACAGAGGAAGATGGAAAGGAATTGCTGAAATAATTAATAGAAGTGGAAAACAGAAAGGGAGGTATGAGGAGGTCGTGGAAATAAGGGAATGAAAGATAAGACATTGAAATTGTTCTGTGTTTGAAATGGTTTGTGTCATGCTTTGTTAGTTTTCTGTTTTTCTGTTTTTTCTTTTTTTGTTCTTTCTTTTTTTGTTCTTTCTTTTTTTTGTCTTTGTTTTGTTGTGTTTAAATGGTTGAAAATTTATATATATATATATATATATATATATATATTAAGTATGTATGTACAGTGGTACCTCTGGATGCAAACGGGATCCGTTCCGGAGCCCCATTCGCATCCTGAAGCGAACGTAACACACGACTGCATGTCTGCGCAGGTTGTGTTTCGCCTCTTCTGCGCATGCGTGTGACATCATTTTGAGCGTTTGCACATGCAGCGAAACCCGGAAGTAACACGCTCCGTTATTTCTGAGTCGCCGCGGAGCGCAACCTGAAAATGCTTAACCTGAAGCGTATTCATCCCGAGGTATGACTGTATGTATGTATGGGACTTCCAAGCAAGTGTCTTATTAGGATGTATGATGAAAGTCAAATGTGTACCTCAACTTCATCCAAACTCCACTAACCTTAGAAGCCACATACCTCTACACACACACACACACACACACACACACCCCTAGACACTTGTAAATCTGAACTAAATCCCAGCAGCTAGATATAATGTGACTGGACTGAGTTATCTGTCATGCTGAGTTAGCTAAACTGTAGAAGCTCATATAAAACTGGTGTGGCAAGCGAGAGACATAACTGGTTTACCTGGAGTGAGATTTCATAAGCAACAGCTGACTTTATCAGATGCCTAGAGTGAACTAAGAAGGTGAGTGAATGTACAGTCTTGCACAAGGGGATACAGTACACCAAGGCTAATATAGCGAGAATCAATGAGAGTAAAGGCATCTGATTATGAGAAATTTATATGAGAAATTTATATGAGAAATTTATAAAAATCAGATTCTAAACCAAAAGTGATGGAAAGTGATGTTCTTTTACTAAATAGATGCTAATTCAAAGTGCAAAGGTAAAAGGAAGTTAGCATGCAATCACATAGCATCATAAAGCTTATTACATGTTAATAGAAAGACTTGTTATTACTATGGTTTATGGAAATAATAATTGCTCCTAAAAGTTTACCAGATCTACTATCACACAAGCAGGGGATTTTAAATAAAGAAAACTACACTTTAATATCAGCACTTTGCCCTTCTTATATCCTAATAAAACAATAAGGTAGAGTGTATTTTCTATTCTTTATCACCTTCTGTCTTTAATTTCCCAGCTTCATTACAAATAACTTTGACGAAGTGTCTTTTCCCTTAAAGCAAAATGTTTAGCAACATTTCATAGAGGTAAAGACGAACAGCTGCTGTTTTAGAAACCCTATCATAGACATGTTATCAACACCTGGATTGCTAATTGACTTACACTCTCTGATGTTTGTCTTTCAAATAAAACGAGATGTTACATTTCTCCTGCTGTAAAAGATGGAAAGTGAAGTCTAGGTGGGTTCCCATGAGGAAAGACACAGCGATAACAGCAAGAACCTTTATTGAACTACATAATTGTGAAACAAGGGCAAAGTAACTGCTTATATACATTCCTGAAAGCCTGGGCCACTCCCACTCCCAATGTGATTGGCTGCCTAAACTTCCAAGTTGCGAATCATGACTCAGAGTTCAAGGGCCAATGGCAGAGGCCCAAATCCTGAAATGATCTGTGATTGGACATCATGTATTGAATCAGAACACAGGAGCTCAGAATCCTTAGTCCAGACTCAATACTCAGCTCATCACACTGGTCAAAATGTGATGTAGTATCAACAACAAATGGTGGGCCCAAGTCTAATAGGTTATGGGCCAACTGGGTCTAACATGGTACATGATGCACTAGCAGTTTGAGGGGAAAATTTATGTCAGGAGCAAGAGAGA